AGGGATCATGCCTCTGAGCATGCATGGTAAGGGAGGGCACTTCTCTTTACCTGCTTTAGGCACTTCAAAACAGTCCCCAGAGGCTCCGGTGTGGTGGTCCGCACAGAGAGTGGGGTGCAGCCATGCCAGTGCACCCCCTCTGGATCCACTGCAAACTCCAGTTAAGGTTTAAGGTTTAAACAGAGCTATAATATGCATAAGCACAAGGAATCCTTTATATAAGAAATTATGTTAGAGAGTGGAATGTGTGTATTAATGGTATTTAGAAGTTGTATGTGACACTGATCAAACCTGAGCATTAGAAAAGTCGATAAGGATTCTTGACATTCCAATGGAGAAACTAAACAAAAGAATAACGATACCTTGACTGCATGCAAAATCAAAGAAAAAAACATTCAAAAGGAATGAGAGGTGAGATAAAACTGAATGAAATGTCAGACATAAGGAAAATATAGATAACAATGGAGAGGAATCAGTCCTAAGATGTGAACTGATAAAACCATATAACTAATCTGCTCCAAACCTTACACAGAAAATGAACAGACACTCCATTTCTCTGCAACAAAGGAATATAGCAAACACTAATGATTCAAGCAGTTAAGTGAAGTCTAAATTGGTCAGAAGCACAATTGTAATCTATTTGAGTAAAACTAGTCCAGAGGAACCAAACAGAACATACATGACCTCTTTTTAACCCTTTAAGTAGAGAAGCTGGGGAGAGAAGTGGCTTAAAAGTGTTTTCGTTACTTCTTATTAAAAAGCAAAGATATTTATTGGATTCATTTTTTCTATGTGGGCTGTAGTCTCTGACTTGAATAGTTCTTTTTACATTCATGTTTTCAGGCTAGCTCCTCTGCTGGTATATATCAGCATAATTTCATTTACTGTAGTGGAATGACACTGATTTAAATCCCTCTTGACCAGGCCCTGAATGTTTATATTTCAGATGTACCCAAACCAGACAGCAACACAAAGATTATTCCAAGGAGCCTTGTTTGTTTGAAGTTTATATAATTGCTACTTTACTTTCTTAGCACCGATATAAAATATGTGGCCTGATACTTGGCCTGGCAAGCTTATAGTCTGAAGACACAGGAAGTACAATCCTGTGGAAAGTAAGTACAAAATAAAGCTGGATTTCAGGAAGCAGAAATCTGGCTTTAAGCCCTGCCCTCCGTTAACAACAGGCTGAGATTCTTGTTTTTAGGTGCTTACCATTTAAAAAAATATTTTGGAAATACGCTTTTTTCATTGGAGTGATTGCTTTAGGAAACATTAGGAAGATTTCCAAACTTGATTGCCTATTATCTTTCTTCTTTATGATCTAGACAGTGGGACATATAGTACCAAAGTGGTCATAAATTAACCTGTAGTTGGATTTGAAAAGCAATGCCAAAATTTTCTAGGAGTTTGGAAAAGGTGACTTTTGGGGAGAAGAAGAGATTTATAATTTATGATTATCAGGTTTCAAGGGCTAACTCTTTAAACCATTATATTCTATGGCATTAGAAAGATGTAGTATTGTTTCCTGTAAATTGAATGAGTGCATTTCTGTAAGATGTTGTCATTTCTTTCACTTTTTATGGAGAAGAGACAACAAATACATTTCAGATCAACACAGGATACATTTCCAACCAATTTTAAAGACCTTTTTGGTCCAATAAAAGCTTCTAGAGTGCAGTGAAATTCTAACTTAGTACTTCATAATCAGAGGCTTGAGTAAAGGAAACTAAAGCAACATCAGCATAACCAACTGTTGATAAAGAATTATGCCTCTGCCTGAATGCAGCCATGGAATAGTTGTAATATCCATTTTGTTACTATTCAGTTGCTGTAAAGAACAGTTTGAAAAAGAGAGCATTATTTATCTTTTCCTCCTTGTAGGATAGCACATTAAATTTATTCTTCTCCCTAGCAATGCCTTAAAATATAATCAATCTGTCACTGAACTGTGGCAAAACTGGAGTACATGAAAGATGTATTCTCTCCATAAAGCCAAGTGGAGTTTGGCAGGTTTTCTTTTGTCTAAAGAAGAATATGACATGCAGATACTGTACTAAAAAGGAACACAAAGCCCCCTTCTTTCTATTCTCATACTGACAGATTTTGCTTAAGGATGATGAATTTTTAGAAAAATTTGCAATACAAAACTTGTGCACCATACCCCACTGAAGTTCTGTTGAGTCATCCTGTGAAACTTGCTACTATTGAAAGATGAGGAAAATTCTGCTTTTAGATAACCAAGGGGCTCTGACAGGATAACTCATCTATTTAAAAAAAATAGATCGTTCGTATCTGTTTTGCTGATAAACATCTTGAATTATTTTTTTTTTAAAAGAAAGATCTATAAGTGCAGAGATTTTTTTCTGATTGACCTCTAAGGTATCTTCTACATAGGATTTAGGCAGAGGGTAAGTGCGTAAGTCACAAGTCCAAATTGATCCCCAAACTGCTTTGGTGCCTAGTTTCATTGGTTGCTTCCATTTTGGCCTGAAAAGATCTGTGGGTTCATAGAGTTGGGGTTTTTTATGCAGAGGTATCAGCCTTCAATGAGAGGGCAGTCCAGATCTGGATCAGGGACTTCTTGCAGGCTAGACAACCCACATCCAACTCCAGATCATGAGGCTTCAGACAATCACTACAAACACTGCTGTGTCAGTGCCAGCAGGCAAGGAGTTAATGCTGCCACTGCTGAAGTCCTATTGCCAGAGGTGCTGACAGAAGCCACAGGGTCGGTACAGCCGGCACCCAGGCAGTGAACACTGCAGATTTTAGTTGCCAATGCTAACACTGCAACTCCAGAAGCTATGGCAAGTGGTTGGGAAGAGGATCGATTACTTTGTGGCTTCTGGTAGCCTCTGCAAAAAGCCCCACGGGCCAGATGATCCACCCCTGCAAGCCAGATCTTTCCCATGGGCCATATTGTTCTAATGTATAATGCATAGCGTCTCCATACTAAAGAATCAGTCAATTATGTTTGCCCTATTTACTGCAGAAGAAGCCTAGGTTCCTAAGTATGTTAATTAGGTACCTATATTTTAGGTATTGTCATATATAAGATATTGTCATGCATGAAATACAAGCTGCATAAATGGAGGTGCCTTAGAGATCATTTAGGCTCTGGGCCTCAATTTCCTTTCCACTACTAATGTTATTTGTTTGGTTTGCATTTCATTCAGCTTGGAAAATCAAACTTAAGAGCTGCTAAGTTGTTTGACATATGCACATTATTTAGTGAGTTTATTTGGAAATAATTTCCACATGCCCATATATTTTAGCATAAAAAAGATCTGACTATTTAACCATAAGTGCAGGTGGTGAGGTTACTCAGACAAATGGCAATGACTATCCCCAGGAAATGAAAAATGTCAGCATTCTCTGCAGACAGGAATGGAGCCCTGGTCCCATCGAGCTGTCTGAGAGCTTCCCTGTGGTCATGGACCCTGGAAGTCCTAAATGTCTCTCAGTCTGCACAGGAGGTCTTCTTGTAGATGTGGACCCTGGAAACCCTAGTGCTTCACATTCTGACTCATAGAAAAGTAAAAATTTTTTGGAAGATGCTTGGAACCCTTGCTTGGTTCCTATGGTAATTTCAGTAAAACTGGTTCATCTCTTCAGAATGCTTCAAAGTCAATGAATCAGCAGATTCCAATGATAACTATTTTCTTGGGTTGTTTTTTTTACTAGCTCTAATAATACTCTTCTGCTTGGGTTTTTTAATAAAATATAGAAAGCTTTAGATAAAAGCATTATTTGATTGGAGTAAAAAAATCTTTCATGAGAACAGACCTGTTTACAATAGGACTTGTAAAATGCCCCTCCTCCTCCTCTCCTCTTCCTGGGGTGGGCCGGGGGGAAGAACGTGTCAGTGAACCCAGTCACTAACAGCCTATCCTCTCCCCTGTTGGGGAAGGAACACCACTAGGCATGCTGTCAGGGATTGGTGGGCAACTGGTGATCACTGACAGATCAGCAAACACCGGTGCTTGCTTTCACAAGGGCAGCAATGGTCCCTACCACCACAGCAGCGGTAGTCCCTGCTGCCCTAAAGCAGCATCAGCAAGTCCTGCCACCACCACCAGGGCAGCAGCAGCAGTTCCTACCACTGCTACTAAAGCAATAGTAGCAATTCCAATCCAACCACAGTGGCGGCAGCAGCTGTCCCTGCCTCTTGAGGCAGCATCAGTCCCCACCATCACTGTTGGCAGAAGTATTGGTCCCCACTGCACCAGTGAGCAAAGCTGCAGCCTCTGATCCTCATTGGGCTGCAGCAGTGCTTCCCGGCAAACTGTCACTGAGTCAGTCACCTTCCCTCTCTCCATCCCCGCTTGGAGGTGGGTAGGAAGAGCAGAGCTCTGTGGGAGGCTGAGAGAGCAAAGAACTTTGTTCTACTGAATTCTTGAGATGTAGGGAATAGGGCATGAAGAAAAGCTGAGTGAGGATCCAGAGCCACCTTTGTGCGGCTGAGTTCAGCTTCTTAAAGCTTGGCCATAGAGAAGCTTGCAGTGGTGTTGCTCTCATTATCAACAGGTTATTGCAATGGAAATTAGACCACAGAACCCACAGCTACCAAGCAGGGTAAACTAGATGCATGTACTGTTTAGATACAAGTTGGGATGATATACTTGTATTTCAGACCTGTGTTGGAATTGCCGCATATATTGCAATATCAAAATAAAACACGATTTAAGACTTTGAATGTTGCTTATTTATTAGGGGTCAAGGGATGGAAAGTTTTTCTACTCAAAATATATTAATGTTATGGTACACAAATTATTCTGTTATGTATTGGTCATAAAGATTTAAAAGATCTTTAAGACTTGAAGTGACTCTGTATAAGTTGTCACATTTGATGCCTTGAATATTCATTTATTTCATGATATGTAGATTAGTTTAATTATTGGCATTATTGCTACTTGAAGATTTCAAGCTCTAGGCTTTAAGCTGTAGATGTTTTTATATGATATGCTAGATCTGACAGTGTTGATGTTCTCTTTCAGGAGACACTGATAGACTGGTGTGATGAAAAGGAACTTAACTTGATTTTAACAACTGGAGGAACAGGGTTTGCACCACGAGATGTCACTCCAGAGGTGAGATAGTCCTGGATTTAGAACAGTCTGCCCTTTGGGACAGAAACATCCTCATGTACAGAAATTTCCTTCACTGAGTGCTACATAACAAGGGAGGAGTAAAAGCCATAGGAAGCACTGTGCAAATGAATGAGTTAAAATTCTGAATCTCTGATTTCAGAGGACCCAAAGGCTTTTGACTAAATTTTGACAGTACTGAATAGAGTTCCATCCACTACACATAACACAATTGCTGCAGTATTTTGGGATAATGTTTCTAAACACTGCATTTCAATACTGTACAGTTCCATAGTGCTAATCCCAGTCACAAATGTGACTTGTGCAAGGCATCCCTTCTATTCTCCTACACTGGCTACAATAAGTACGTTACAGCATAAGGGTGAGAAGAGGAAGAGATACCTCCACAAGACTCTGCTGCCTGTTCCACAAATGCTGCCACAGCTGTATTACATTTCCAGGAAAGAAATACAAAGTAAAGGCAAGCAAACTACCTTAAATCTGCTCTCTAGTAATCTTGTGCAACTACCTAGTGATTACCTAACTGTTACCTAATAATTATGATCGAAGTATTTTAGTGGCAGTGGTCCCAAATTAAATTAATCTGATTATTAAAACTGTGTTTGTTCATATTTTTCACCTTCACAGTCTCATTAGAGGGCAGAGTTGAGGTTGCTTGAGTGCCTTAATTGTATATTTCCTTAATCCATGTGGGTTTAAGTATTGTCATAACTTCAGACTCTTTAGATTTGTAGCTCTTAATGTTGTGTCAGTTACAACATACCTGTAGTGCCTTCTTCCCCCTTGAGATGTTGATATACAGTGTCAAGCTCAAGTGTACATTAAAGTAGGTTTTGGTGTGGCAATTTTTTTTTAAGATTTCATAGATGAAAATTAAACAAGAACCCAAATTGAATGCTAGGGGCAGATTCATCAGGAAGTGAGAAAAATGTGAGGCAACCTGAGCATACTGCTTAGTTAGGATTTACAGCTGCTTTGCGTTATCAAACTAGCCAAAGTTTATTGGTGCATCTGGTCCCTAATTTGCAACTGACTTACTGGTTTAGAGGGTATAGGTCCTGTGTGAAAGAAAGGAAAGGGGAGAGCCCAATTCCCAAGTTCTTATGTCCCTATACTCTTAAGGATGAATCTTTACATCTATTCCAGTCTCTCCAGCAATACTCCCTTGTTTACAGAGAAACCAAAGCAATTAAACCATGGGTAGGTAGCCTTTCAAGTAGTGTTGATCAAAGCTAGTTGTGGTCCATCAAAAGCAATGGCTGTTTAGACAAGTAACCTGCAACTTGGAATGCTTTACACAAGCATGCAGTCTCCTTCCCTCACTGCTTCATTACAATCAAAAATACTGTTGAATTCAAATTCATTATAGTTAGAAGGATAACACTGATGTGTTGAGTTGTCTCAGGTTATGAAGGGCCAGCTTAAATGTTATCTGAGCTGTTGAGCTGACACTCATTATTCCTCACATTATATAATTATAACATCTAAATAAAAATCAATAAATTAATTGCGATCTTACCACTTTCCACATAACCAATGCACAAGTTTTCAACTGATTTTTAGCTGTACTGAAAGTTTGGAGGGTCTGCATTACTTCCTTATTAAAAATCATTGGGGTGTGGGGACGGTGACTGATACAGAAGATTTCTTAAAGGGCCAGTTTTTAAATATATTTAACTCAAACCAAGTAACAGATTTATTTATAATTTGTCAAAAAAATCAGTCTATACTTAGAGCATGTTTACCTAAAAGGCTAAATCCCTACTTTCATTAAAAATGAAATTCAGTCTTAACTATGGAGTTTTGATCAGTGTCTCCAATATGCAGTAATTTTAAGGGTTTATTCGAACAGATGTTAAAGAAAACATCAGTCTGTCAGAAATGAAATAACAAGAGCGTGCCAAAGAAAAGACTGTTATTCCAAAATGAATTATTTCTCCTTTGAAATCAGTTGGAGGGTAAATGCACATGAGAAAATCCAATACCTCAACATGAGGTACTCAGACAGTAAGAAAACTTAAGTTGTTGCAGGAAATGGAATTAGTATCTGAAGTGAAACTAATTCAGTTAATAGTGAATTAATAAGATCTAGAGTTTTGCATTTCTAAGATGATGGGGGGCATTGTTCTACTGAAGATGTCATCTTTTAGATGTGATTTTTAAAATCAGTGTTGATCAGTTACAGTAATTGAAAACCATATGGCATTTTTCTTTGCAGTAGAACAGTCATCCCCACTGTCCTTAGTCCAGAGGTTGGCACTGTTTTCTAGCAAGGGGACTAAAAGACCTAGCTCAGGTCTGAGGCAAGCAAGCATCAGCACCCAGCTGCCTCTGCTGTTTCTCCCTGCCACCAAGCTGTGACAGCACAGCACAGGCAGAACTCCCCACCATCAAATGCTGTTGAAGCCACAGCTCCACGGGTCAGATTTAGCCTGCGGCTAGAGGTTACTGACCCTTGCCTTAGTCCATGGTCAACTTGAATAATTATATTCAAGTTTGCTTAATCTAATTTGCTTCTCTAAATTCTTGTTGTAGTTTTAAATTGGGCAAGATTGCTTTTCATTTTCTGTCCAGAATTACTGTGTAGTATTGCTAAACATTGTTATTATAAAATTGTTGCTTTCTATACCATATTGTATGCCTAGGTTGATTCCTATATTTCCAGTAAAAATATTACTTAAGATGCATTTAATATTGTAAATAAATATCTGTTAAATTGAAACAGCATTCCTAGAAGAGTATCGTTATTAAAATAAAAAAAACTCAGGAAATGTATAACTAAGGTTCACAAACAGCCTTTTCTCTGACCCTGTATCCCCATCTTTACTCCACATATATTTTGGAGTATTACTTAAATCATATGGGTTACTGCAGGTAATTGGAGGCTGAAGATTTTGCAAGTTGCCTTGTAATGGTAGATATGGTACCATAACTTATAGACTGTCTATGTGGAGATAAAAAGATGCTTCTCACTATCAGTGGAAGGCTGAATTTGAAGGCAAATCTGTCCTTGTGTCTGTAGGTGGTCCCTAATTGTCATGGTTAGGGTTTAAATTTTGTATCTGGAGTATGGTAGTTGATGGTATTTCCTATTTCAGTTGGAGCCACAACTCATTATTGATTTAATCATAGTTCAAGAAAACTTTTCTGTTCGTACAGTATGGTTACAAATTAGAAATATGGAAAAGGTGTGGTGGATTGGTTATAGGATGGGTAGGTATAAGGGAATTGTGGTTGATCAATGGATGGGCTTGACATCGGGTCTTACTTGAGATTATCTGTGCTATTAACTTTACCATACACTTCCTAATGTTCAGCCTTTTCCCTAGAACTGCAAAATAATAAAACTAGTTATTTAATTAATATGCAGGTGCAGTTTTATCAGAATATCAATTATATTTTGTCTTAAATTTTGTAGAAAATATTCTAAAGCAATGACATTTTATAATTTATTATAGATCCTTATGTTCCCATCTGATATAAAAATATATTGCTATATCAATCAGTTCATTCAAGGAAAAAGACTCTAGTCTAGACAACCCCTTTATTTATTCTTCCCACACAATTTTTCACATGCATGTCTTTCCAAAATAAGAGCAAATATGTATGTTCCTGCATTCCTTGAAAAATATATTCTTCTGCCTGTTTTTTTTAATCTCATGCCCGCTTCCATACTTTCCATCCCTGAAATTTCTTGTATGTGTTTGGTGCCCTACAAAATTCACTCTGTCTACCCTCAGAAAAATAACACATTGCCGCTAATAGGTGTCAGCAATTACTGCAACTAATCTGCAGTTTGGATGCCGTTTAGCTGCATGCACTGCTAAGGGCAAAGCGTGTTTAGTTTCACCTCTACTGACAATTGTCAATACCTGGAATTTTGGGAATGTGAGACCCTTCAAGGCGATACGGATGTACGCATATATATCACACACTTTCTAATCCACCAAACAAAAAACAAACACATATACTTGTGTTTTGTATCTTTCTTCCCATTATTCTTGATAAGCCTCTTCCTTCTTTGTTTCTATCTGCTTCAAATATTTATATACTGCTTTTATATACATGGAAACATACTTATATTCATCCTTCAGCTTATCAATGCAACTTTACATGTTTTACTGTCTTCTAAAGTTAACTCCTCTAAACTATTAAAAAATGTTGTTAGTGTTCTTTGAACTCCTTCCATATTTGTCTGAAGGAGGAGGTGATCAGAATGAAACACCATGATCTAAATGCAACCGCAAAAGTCTTATATAGAGAGAAAATGTCACTTCTTTTGTGATGTAATCAATCTGTGTAGTAGCCCAAAATTGCACGGCCATTTTTATAACCATTTACTAACTCATGTTTGCTTAGCTTTCCCCAGGCCTACCAGGTCTCTTTCAGCATTATTGCTTCCCAAGCATCTCTTTTTTTTCTCATGTTTTGGTTATTTTTTTTCAAGCTGAATCATATTTTATTTACTGCCATTTTGTAATCTATCTGTGTCCTTCTGTACCAGTTCTCTGTACCAGGTGGTATTTACAACACCTCCTAGTTTATATCATGTGCAATTTTTGTAGGTGCTCTATTTACTTCTTCCAGATTTTTCCATGGTCCAAGCATATGTTACGCCAGTCTCAGTGTCCCCATCACACTCTCATACAGAGAGATTTTGATTTATTAAGACACAACTCAAAATAAGCATGCAATTCCTTTTGCTTTTTAGATTCAAACAATTCCTCTCTAGGTCTACAGATTCTCCTACACTACTCCCTTCAGGGACTGAAACATATCTGCCCTTGGTGCAGAGTTCTCAGCCCTCCTGGAAGCTGCACCTAAAGTCTTTTAAATCTGTCCCTAGGTTCCAACAAATTACTTTTCTCTTTATTAACTGGCTTTCAAAATCACAGTAGAGTGGGAAAACCACATCTTTCTTCTCTTGTGGGTCACTGATCTAGGAACCATGTGAATTATGGTATCAACCTTTACCTGCTCAA